AAAATTGATATTACGAATTATCCAGTATAAATAATGTACCGCTAATTTTCTCTTTTACCTGTAATTTCAGTTTTCTTAGGCTTCATCAATTGTCCCATCATTGACATTATATCCTGTCCTCCTTGTGGCTTGGCATTAGCTACATCCAAATCATGCAACGTTACATCTTGAATAACTTCCTTCTTTTTATGTACATCGCCTTTCGGTAAAGGAACATATTCCTCGGCTTCCAGATCGAATTCTGTGGCAAAATTATCACTTCGACCTTGCCTCTTTACTGCCCCGCTATTAGCTTCAATATAAATTACATCGCCAGCTTCGACTTTCTCTTTTTGTAAAGATTCATATATCGAAGGGTCCAGTTTTAATTGTTTTGTGCCTTTAGAAGTTTTCAATCCGAGGACTACGTGAGATACAGTTTTACCATAGCCACCCATAGGATTTTCTGTTTCAACAGGTGACAACTCAGTCACTTCACCTTCATATACCTCTTTAGTTTCTTTAATCCTTAAGCCAATGGCCCTCCTAAAATTCTCCATGAGGACCTCTGTTTTCTTAATCTCTGAACTGTAAACTTCTGAGCCCACCATAGGACAGAAAGGTACTTTGTTACCAAGTTCTTGAGCAATGGCAAGTGCTATCGCAGTCTTGCCTGTACCTGGTGGACCAGCCAATAACACTGCACGTCCTGCCATTCTCTTTGATTTTATCATGTCAACGACGATACCTGCTGCCTGTAAGAGCAACATTGAGCTTATGCTTCTCATCATCCATCAAATTAATTCATTAACGTACAATAAAAATAAAAAACTAAATGAAAAAACGGTTGACTTGAAACTCTTGAAATTTGAATGTCATCTGACATATGATGCAAGTACAAAATTCTTATGATTTTCACATGGTTTTTTTCTACTGTGATGCTATGTCTTAATTTATGAGATTGATTGTTGAGTTTTTATATGACTAAAGAAACTAAATTGTAACCCATTTCGGGAACAAATTAAACTAAAATTAAATTATACACACAAATAACATATAAATAGCTAAATTAGAAACAGAATCATGATATATTTTTTTGGTGATAAAGAGAAATATTATGAATTTTCTAGCAAGACAAGAAAATCATAATGCTTTCTCTTTGATGATATTCTTTAAAAGTTTCCATTATTCTAATCTATCTTCTAGTATCGCATGACACGTGATATGTCGTGCATTTACTGGAAAACAACGCAGTTGCCGCTGCTCTCAAGAAGATGCTAACCTCACGCGCCATTTCTTGACCGACGAGACCGGCCGCGCTCTGGATGGCAGAGCCATTCTCATCGAGTCCAAGTCCTTTAATATGTGTGTGGGCTGAAATCCTCTGGGTCTTGGCGGTGCTCTTTACCTCCTCAATCTTCATCGTTGTTACCCTTTTGCAAAAATAGACTAACGTAAAGTGCAAACCGGCCGGATGAGCACGTTGCTAGAGTTTGTTTGATCAGTAACGGAGTAACCCCCCTCTCTACCAGCTGCGTTATTACAGCAACGCTATTAGCAAAAATTGAACGTGCGCAGCTTGCGTGCCACTTTTCGAAGTTCAAGCTCGTTTATTGATCCATTCATATGGCGATACTGTGCAGATATATTTCATCATTTGCGATAAAATTAGAAGATAAATTAAAAAATAAGAGATATATCTTCTGAAATGTTGATTGAGAAAAAATAGTTACGTCTGTAGGAAATAGATTGCAAGCTGCTTGTCGAAAAGTCCGCGTCTAGCAATTGATACATTTTTCAATGGCTAGATGTCTCATGAGACGACAATTTCTCGAGAGTGCCACGGACGGACTGATTTCGTATATAAAGGCATTCTAGGAAAGCATCCGTTGGGTCCGGTACACCTGGGAAAAAGCTAACGATAAATCGTAATCTTAATTTGAAGTTGCCGCTGATTTCAATACAAGTTCAACTATCTCAGCCCAAGGTGTGACGTCGACCCATTTTGCTTTGAGATACTATTTTCTCGTAAATTTTTTTTCTGTTAAATTTTCATTATGCATTGTACTCACGCTGTCGCGTCGATTTAATTTTTTACTCGAATTTGATATTAATTTTAATTGTATAACGATCTCTTAATCTATTTCAGCAGAAAATAAAAAAAATATAAAAATAAAACAATTACAATTTATTGACATTTGAACATTTGAGCTTTAATTTTATTTCTGCTGAAGGTTCAA